TGGTCAAAGGGTTGGGTTTGGAAGAATCATTCACGTTTGACAAGTGAGCTTCACAGAGTAGCAATGACGGGAGTAAAAATGTTTGCCACCAGTGATGGAGTTAACAGAAAGGGAGATGACATGAAAGCTGAAGTGAGAGAAAAACAGCATCTAGGAACAAAGACCTACCCTAACTCTAAACATTGAGTTTGAAGAATTGATTTGATTTTGACTTGATTTGATTTATTGTAGTCAGGTGTACCTAAGTACAGTGAAAAGCATTGTTTGCGAGCAGTACAGGCAGATCATAGGACGCAAGGACATGCAGATCATCGGATGCTTAGGCAGAGTGAGGCATACAGGCTACACTATACAGGAAGTGCCAAAGCAAGATCAACATTAACAAGATCAACATTATTTGAAGTTAGAAAGGTAAGTCGCTAAAAACTTCAAAACCTACAGAATACCTCAAAAACAACGTTTTGGCAAAGAAACCTACAGAATTCATAAGCAATTTTGTTATCACCGCTCTTCAAGTTCTGAGAAGTAGCATTGCATTTGATTTTGAGAGCTGCATTCATGTTCCTTTAATGTGTAGGCCTACTGGCATTATCATTCAGTTACAGAGTCACAAAAATGTACAGAACGGAAACAGACCCTTTGGTCCAACTGATCCATGCCGACTAGATATCCTAAATTAATCTGGTCACATTTGCCTGCATTTGGCCCATATTTCTCTAAACCCTTCCTATTGAAGTACCCATCCAGATGCCTTTTAAGGTTGTAACTGTACCAGCTTCCACCACTTCCTCTGGCAGCTCATTTCAAACATGCATGTGAAAAAGTGGCCCCTTAGGTCCCTTTTAAATCTTTCCCCTCTCATCTTAAACCTATGCCCTCTAGTTAACTGTACTCAGACTCCAATCCCAAGAGTTTTGTCTTATTAACTACCTTTGAAACTAGTGCATGCTATAACATGCATAAATGCAACCATTAACACCAAACTAGTGGCATAAGCCAAAGCTTGCATTAATAGCAGTGTGCAGTAAAAGGAGATTAATTAAAAGCAAATCCCAACCGAGAACAAAAAACAGAAATTCTGAAGGTTTACTGGACTCAAAATGTTAACTCTGCTTTCTCACCACAGATGCTGCCAGACCTGCTGAGTTTCTTCAACAATTTCTGCTTCTGTTTTGGGATTTCCAGCAAGCCCATTTTTACCTGAAGATAGACTTGTATTTCCCCAGTTTAGAGTGGTTATTTATTCGACCGCATCTACTTGTCACAGTTATCCAACAACTATCGCAACATTTCATTCTGTTATAAAGCTAAGTTTATTTGGAGATGCTACTTTGTCTATATACAAGTAAACAACTAAATATGTTCCACCTGGATGCATGCCTGCACTTGAAGGATGTCATTCTATATGAGAGAAAATTAGAGCACTTAGAAAACATAGCTCCATGAGCTAACTGGTACGAACTGTGATAAATTAAAATACAAGTCTCCTATCAATCAGCCAGGCAGAAAATATTTTGAGAGAGAAAGCAACATAGGATATAGCACTTCAATGTTAACATGCTTATATTTGCCCTTTTCTGTACATTTTAAAATTTTGCAGGACATTTTACAAATTTACAAATTAAAATTTTACAAAACTGTAGCGAGCAGATTGAATTCATTCACACTTTAATGAATATACAGATATTTGGGAAGTTTACAGGTCTTGGCTCAGCTTCAACAGCCATGACCACTGCTATAAATCTTCTCATGATTTTACCTGATTTAGATTTGAATCATGATTGGGCCTTGTTATCTAAATTTAAAGAGATTTTCAATTACATGCAGATGTTAGAAATAAAACAGCAACAATCATAGCACATCTAAGAACTGCTGCTTTGGGGCTCTTTGCTTAGAAAGATGTCTCAAGATGTAAGCTCATTAATAAAATGATGCTGAACACTAACGAGGCTGAGTGTGAATACCAAAGGTCACACATACAGTGATCTTCAATTGCAAGGAGATAGTGCTTCAGATGCCAGGATTTCAAATCACATTTCAATTGCTAACATCATGCACCAATATATGTTGCCAGCAAATGAAATTAAATCAATGTCTGAATTTTGATTATAAATCTTCTTAAACTGATATTCAGATATCAAAAGCAGCATCCACAAATAAAGAGATAACAAGGTGTAGAGCTGGATGAACACAGCAGGCCAAGCAGCATCACAGGAGCAGGAAGGCTGATGTTTCGGGCCTAGACCCTTCATCAGAAAAGGGTCTAGGCCCGAAACGTCAGCCTTCCTGCTGCTGTGATGCTGTTTCGGGTCTGGACCCTTCTTCAGAAAATCCACAAATAAACTTGGCTTTCCAACAGAATGCAATGCTATAAAATGCTGCAAAACTACGGCAAATGGATGCTGTCAAAAGGAACAACAGCTTTAAACTGGGAAAACACAAATCTCTATTTTGGGCTTTACTTTATGAATAATTGAGTTTTCTAGGCAATTTGTCATTTCTTCAGTTTGATGGCATCTTTATATAAATACTGCATCCTGCAGTGTGTAGTTCTGGACTGCTCCGCCAGTCATACTTATGTAACTATTTAACTACTTGAGTGTGACAAGATAATTGTTGAAAGATTGTGTTCCCACTAAGAAAGAGATTTTGAAATTTTCTATTCTGATTGCAAGTTTTTAAACCCTAAAAAGAGAATGTTAAACCTTTTTTCAAATTAAAAAAGAAGTCAGGTAGAATCCTAAATGACTAAGATGCGTCAGAAGTTGTCTTTGACTCAAGACTCTGTAAGCATTTTTCACAGAAAATTTTTTCTGCTTTTTTATTCAAATACATAATAGGCATTTTGGAATTAAAGAACAGAAGTGTGAAGTACTTGTGATCTATTCCTTCCGGAATAAACTTTGTCTATGTTCACAGACTTTGTATTTTAATGTGTATTTGGTACTAAGAGAAGCACACAAACTCTGCTTTATCTTGTCAGCATATTATTGAATAAATACTATTTCAGCAAAGATTTGTAGGATATAAGGAATGCACAGTGTTATATAGCAGGAGTAGGATGACAATTTGATAGCTGCCTTATACTGCAAATTCTAGTCCAGCTCTTTTGTTATTCCTTTGACCGCTGCATCCAAACTTGCAATCTTGATGGCTAGAAGGATCAGGGCAGCATATGTATGGGAATGCCACAATCTGTAAGCATCTCTCCAAGCCACGTATCATTTTGATTTGGAACCATATTGCCATTCTTTCACTGCTACTGGCAGTGGTAGATGGGTGTATCTACCCTGCTTGGATTGCCAGTGGTTCAAGAAGGCAGATCACTAACATCTTCAAGGGCAATTAAGGATGGGCAATAACTGCCGGCCTAGCCAAGAATGCCTTCATGCTATGAATGAATTTTTAAAAGGTAGCTGCATATCTTGTAAAAGGAACCATAATCATGTGCTGTCTAAATATATTTTCACCATACTAAAATACTTAGGGAGAATATTCATCACAACAAATAGAGAGTCTTATAATAAATGTTAGATGCTGAGAAGCTAACTTGATCTTTAAGCAAAGATACAATTCATTTAGTCATACTCAATTAGATTTTGCTGTTAAAAGTGCAGCATGGTTTTTCCACTTTAAAAATACACAAATGGTAACCCCAAACCTTTTTACAATATTGTATTTTAAGAATATAAAGTATTAGTAATTATATATGGTAGAGTGATTGCGACTTAAAATTCTTCCTCATGCTTTGATGAATGAAAAATGTTAAAAGTATACAGACATATTTTCATAGATTATTTTGCTCTATTTGCATTTGCATTTGAGAAAGAACTCAATTCGGAGACTAAGTTGATGGTTTACCAGGCAGCTGTGATCCCTGTAGGAGCAAATTACTACAGATGCTGGAATTTGAACTGAAAATAAAAAAATGCTTGGAGATCACAGTGGGTCAGACAGCATCCATGGACAGAAAGCGAGCTAACATTTCAAGTCCAGGTGACTATTCATAAGAGTTGGAGCTCTGATGAAGAATCATCTCGATTCAAAACATTATCTTGCTTTCTGTCCACGGATGCTGCCTAATCCCCATGATCTCCGACATTTTTTGTTTTCAGCTGTGATCCCTGTATGGTCTGAAGGCTTGGACAACCTACAGCATGCACTTCAAAAGCACTGGGGAAGTAGCAAGTGCAGTGCCTTTACAAAATCTTGCAAACCCAGTGACAAAAATGCTGGTCCAATGGCAGCATCCCTAGCCAATTCAGCTTGCTCATCACTGAGACGTTCATCAAACAAAACCAGCTCCACTGGCTGGGTCATATTATTCATAGCTCTGATATACCCCCAAAGTAATTGCTCTGCCCTGGAATTCAATTTTAGCAGGCAATGCCAGAAGGACATCAGAAATGCTTTAGAGTTGTCCTCAAGACATCCATGAGAAGATCATGCAAATCCGCCAACTTCGGGAGACCCTGGTTTATGATTCTCAAAAATGGAGAAGACTCGTTCAGAATAGCACAGAATGACTTCATCAGAACCATGCAAACATGAAGTCAAGACATTGGAGGGAGCACGAGGATGCAAACCATCCATCTATCCTGCCTTCTTGCACACACATGGGCAGAGTCCACAGATTGCACAATGGATCTGCCATCCTCCAAACCCTTTGTTCCAGAGTTCAGGCAAATCATCCTCTATCCTGATTGACTACTTAAAGAGTATATTTAACTAAAATGACAACTCAGGATTTCATCTGCTGAGAGCTGAAGAAATCACTTGTAGTTCAAATCTTTGGAGTTATTTCACATTTTCAAATAGCTATAAACATATCTTAATTCAGCAATGCAAAATGATTCAATACTCTAGTAAATCGATCTTAGGATCTAAAAGAATTACCTGAACTGAATTAGTGTTATTCACCCTTAAAGCTGCTAATGATACTGTCTTATTGTATCCAGTTCCATACAGCTAAATCAATCTTATTCAAATCACTGACGTACCTCTCCATTTGTGAGAATCTAGAACTCCCAGTCCATGTGAGCCCACTGTGATCCTCCTCCCTTGAAAGTGTACCACTCGCAGAGAATGAACAAGGAACACTCAATGGAAGATCCAAAGATTCCATGCTGGTATGCAGGCTACTAAGTTTAGGGTACATTAGACCTTCCTTGTTGCTTGTGAAATTGCTAACTAGACCAAGCCCCTGACTAAAGGTACTAGAATTTACATTAAGAACAGGGGCAGGACTAGGTGTTAAACATGGAGCCAAACTGATTCCAGTTGCTTGGATGTCTGGGGTTTTGGTTACAGTTTCATTGGCAACATTACTAGTCATAGAGACATGTCCTGAGGTTGCAGAATCCAAGCTATTCGAGTTGATTTTGTCAATATTGGCTATTGGAGGTGGCTTGCTGATTCCTTTTGAACTTATCACCCTGGAGTGGAAGAGAAAGAAAACAAAGAAATCAAGTTACCTTTTGGTTAGTGCAATACATGGGGAAATTTGCAATAAATCTTGGATGAACATTGAAAAGAAAAATGACACTTTCTCATTAAACATAAAATCAAAAGTGAAAACCACTTAAAAATCAGACATCAATACTAGATACTTTAAAAGCATGTAAAATATTAAGAAATTTGAGTTCAGTTGCAAATTATTGTTTTTAGCTTAAATAATTGTGGATTAGTGACAATACTGATTAACTTCTTAGAAAGGTGACATTTTGTGCTTTCATCAAGATTAGTGACAATATTAATCAGAAACAAAATCATTTTGTACTGTTAATGTGTTAAGGATAGCATAATATTGTCACTGAGTTCTCACTAAACCACATCTTTAACAGTACCACAAATAGACATGTAGTGCATTTGAACGCATTCTGACGAGAGATACATTTCTTGCAATTCTATTATATAGTGCAATTGTCTTGGCAAAGTAGTTTTTAATAAGTATCAGCCCATATTAAAAGCTGCAAAAGGGAAGTTACTGATCAGAGTAAAGGCGAGAGGTGTTTTGCCCTCTCTAGTAGTTAGTCTTAAAGTATTCTGGATTTGCATAATTGTATCATTGACACTGGCACGAAACACATTTTATGTTATCCAGACACAAAATGAATTCTTGGAGTTTTGCATAATCTAAAATACCTTCTTAAGATTGGAAGAAAGCAGGAATCATTTACGATTCTTATAAAGATGAAAAATTACGATGCAAGGAATTGCTTTGTTGTTCAATTTAGTGCAAGTTGTAGCTGCAGTTTGCACTGCTAGCTAGGTTTTGCAGTATGTAGGTACTAAGCTGAGATTTGGATATATAGTGTAACAGAACTTTTAAATCACCTCATAAAATTGTTCTGTGTGATAGCAACATTTCCAAATCCATTTTGCTACAGTTTTAAAAGAATGGATCAATTAACCAGAAAAATGCAAATTATGATAACACTTAAAGCAGAGTACATCAGCACAAACAAATCTAGAACCTATTCAAAAACAAAATAATCCATAATGTTTGATGTCAGTTTAAGTGGTAAAATTAGGCCTCAACAGTGTTGGGATAGCACAGATATGGTCAAGCAGAGTTCCTTCAAATCGTTTTAGGAACCATAGATTTCAGTGTATAAGTTGATTTTTAAGGCCTCAAATTCCCTTTCAAAATGGCAATCAACTTATAATCTCTGTACATAAAAAAGTGTACAGCCAGGTGTAGATGGTCAGCATTTTGAAATGTTATCTGCATCCACTGGATCTACTGCATCTAGTGTGTGAGTCTTAAATGTCCAAACATCTTTGCTATACAGTTTATATTGCTGGTTTGATCCCTTGATCCAGTTATAAAAGATACCAAGAAGCATTTGTGGGGTGAAAAACTGAGGCCATCCACTAATGAGGATAGTATGCCTTGCTGGATTAAAAAAAAAGGTCAACATAAATGCCAAGCATATGTAAAAACATGATTTTTGGCCTTGGAAAGCTGTGGTTGTCTTATAAGTTGCAATTCAAAGTTTCACACACTGGGACCCCATTGTTAAGTTAACAAAAGATGAAAGCAAGATGCTTCAGGGAAGGGAGTAGAGGCAGGAACTGTAGAAAACAAAAACAATAAAAAAAATTTTAAGAAAGGTTATGCATTTAAAAACTGCCAGTAAATAAAACCAAATGTATAAATAGAATAGGAGATCATTTTTACGACAGAAGGGACAAGGTACACAGGTTGCTTGTAATTTATTGTTTTATATTAGTAGACTGATCCCCTGGGAGTAATAAAAATGTATTATCCCCTTTACACATCAAGTAGCTTCAATTTCCTACAGCAGCCAGCTTTACACAAACACTCTAAGTGGAATATAAATAATGTTAAATAATTCCCCATTTTGTACTGTGAATCAACATTTACTGGGAAATGTGCTGCGTTCCTCCCATTTACGTAGGACTCTTAATTAAGAGTCATACAACAGTTATCCCCTTAATTGTATTCAAAGCACACCTTATACTTCATAATGACAATGGACTAACCTAATATTATCACACAGCTTTTTGACGTTGAATTGGGGGAGCTTTCATTCAGTATCTATAATGTCAGGGATGCAGAACCTAACCTGCGCAGCCTAGGGAGACAAAATGCAATCATGTGCTTCTGCCCCATGGCAGAGGACGTCCTATCTCCAAGAGCTGCCAATTGGACAGATAACACTTCTCCAGTTCTAGCTGCAGCACCAGGAGCAGGGGCTATAGTCAGTTCTTGAGCAGGAACAATAATGGGGACTGGACTCGAACGAAGCAGAGGGCTTTGTCAGGGCCAGTTGGGCAGGCCCCATGAGTAGGGATGAAATTCAGCACTCGCGGGATGGGGTGGTTCAAGCTAGGGGTTGACCACTTCAGCTTTGGAGTGTTTGCGTTCTTACATTGGACGCAGACTGCCTGACTAGTAAGGACACCCTGTCCTCAACATCCTGAGTGTGCCTTCTCGTGTGGCAAACCTTTTCCTTTTTTTAAGCAGTTATACCATCAGAGGTAGTGGCATCAAGTATTTAGTAATTGGTCCAAGCATAGTTGAGCCAACCCCACACCCCTACACAGCCATTGATTAAAAAAATAGCAGAGGGAGGTACGTGACAAGACATCATGCTCCCTCCATACCACATTGTTACATACCCCATCCCTAACCCATTTCTATAGGGACATGAAAATCTAGCCATCACACCTCGATATGGTAGAAATATAAAAGAGCTATTGACTTGGTTTTGTCTCCAGAGATACATAATGCAATTAAAAACAATGCAATATTTTGTCTTTCATATTTATTTTTGAATCTTCTCTTTGAAAACGTAACTGCTAAAAGACTTTTTCTAAAAATGGTACTGAATGGCCAACAATGATGCATCAACCAACCCAAATGTAATTAATAGGACAATTCATACGGAGTGTTTTTTTTAGATAAGTCTTACATTTTGTTAATTTTTTGGATACATTTTCCAATTTGGAGACATTACCCAATTAAACATCCCAGCCCCAAATCACCAAACTTGCCATGGGGAGAGTGTTAAATTCTGTCCACTATGTTTGCCAGAACCATCTCTGCACCTTCTATTTTGCTATGAAAAATTCCTGATGGTTTCATATAGGGAATCAACAGGAAGGAAGGTAAATCTTGGTCGTACCTACAATAGACAGAGCCTAGTCTGCACTAATTATATGCAGTGGTTTTCCATTATAACTAAGAATATCATTATATTTCAGTACATAACTCTCCCACCTCCTAAATCTGGAACCAACATTTGCTTCATTTGCACAGTGAAGTCTTGGAAGCACAAACATAGTGTGTCTCAAATCACTGTCAGCTAGATGGCCAGCAGATGGCAAGAATAGGTAGGTCAGAATCTTATGGCAGAGTTGGACATCAGGCTGTTGTTCTCAACCGGCAATCAAAACGTCATGATTGCCTGTGCCGGGCATTTACAATGTCATAATGTTCTTGAGATTGGAGAGAATCAACAAATTTCAGAGACACTGCTCGTTTTCAGGGTAAACAGCAGGAAAATGCGTCCTTTAAGTTATCTGATCAAGTGATACAATGTAGTGTTTATGTTGCTGGTTTGTTTAGGAGTTAGGAGTTTTGTTTTATTTGTTCATGGGATGTGGACATCACTGGTTAGGTCAGTGTTTACTGCTCAATTCTGACTGCCCTGGAGGAGATGGCAGAAAGTGGCTGCCTTGGGACATGCCCAAGTCAGGATGATATAGGGCTTTGAGGGGACCTTTCAGCTAATGGTTTGCTCCCATACATCTGTTATCTTTGCTCTTCTGGACAGAAGAAGTCATGCTGCTACTGTGCATCGCTGATGAAGGTAATGAATGATGAAGGTGATGGCTGGGTTCCAGTACCAAGGTAGCAATGGTTAAACTAATATTGTTGATTCTACTGTTTGTGAAGACAGAGAGAATAGGTGAAATTAATGTTAAGAGTGAAAATAAACCGGACTTTGCATCAATAGTAATGATGATGCGAATATTATTCATCATTATTATTATGAAGTGAATCAGATAGGAGTACACACATGCAGAGTTAAACACAAACATACACAAATTGTATTCGAAGTTAATTTGTGCCTCTATTACTTTGCTACCTCTCTAACAGAACCTTAATATTTCTATACCTAAGTTGTACCGCTACTAACCAATCACTCAGTGAATGCTGCATATAATGCCAGGCTTGAGCAGTCAGGTGTGAATGAATTTTCATGGTGTGATTACTTAATTATTGTCAGCACAAAAGGCCCTCAAAAATGTAATTTTACAAGTGCAGCATTTCATTCTTTCAGAAGTTAAGTTGTGCCCGTCGCTCTGATCTCTCCCAGTTGCATCTTTCTTTCCAGAACTTTACTTTCTTTTCTGTACATAATTTTAATCTAACTTACAAGTCTTGTTTTAAAGTCTGTGAGCATCAGTACAGAATGTTCAGTTTGATTGATTGTAGGGTTTTGCTGTTGCTTGGCCTGATTACAGATCACTTGAAAATGGCACTGGATTGGATTATTAGCACAATGGCAGCAACTGTCAGTTTAAAGATCAGCAAAATCTCCTGTTGACAGCTGTTGGCACTGTGAATGGTGAACACTGTTTCTTTACTGCTAAGCACAAAAGCTGGCTCGTAATTTTCAAAAGCACACATGCCTGTCTGATCAGTATGACACTTAGGGTGAGGTTACATACTTACATATGTTTAGGGTTTACACTAAAGTAACAATGAGAGAAGAAGTCATGAGCCACCCCAAAGCCATGTGATGAGAGATCTTTTTCAGGAGGCAATCTCTGTTTAAATCAATACTTATTTATAGCTACAAAAGTGTATATGATAATAATTAATAAAATGATGAAGATAGAGCATTACAGAGATAGGGCTGGAGAGTGGGACTAGCTGCGTAGCTCTTTCTGGAGCCAG